GATTGCCTCTGTACACGGCATCACGCGTGATATGTTGCTGGAGCAGTTCTCGTACTTTCAAGCCATGAGCATTGAAGGAACTCACCTGCACTCGGCGCGTTTGCTCAAGCCAGCGCTTATTCGGGCGCAGTGCGACGACGAGGAGTTGGCTGTTCTGGTGAATGTGCCGTCGAGGTCCACGGCAACCCAGCTGGCGCTGTCGACGGAGAGCGCAATCACAAGACGAACAATCGCGTTCGGAGCAAGCAACGCGTTCGCCTCGGCAGTGGCAAGTGCGAACGCCAGGTAACTATCGCGTTCAATTCGGCGCAGCTGGAGCGGGCGTTGCGTAAGAGGCGCAATGACACGTACCTACTTAATGCAGCTGGCCGCCACCGGGTCGACGATGGCCAACGATCGAGTGGAGCAAGATGAAGAAGTGGACGAGGAGGATATGGAAGACGGTGAGGATGACGAATTCCGCAATTTTGTTGACCCAGCTATGATTCTCAACCAATATTTGGGCGGCGATGAGCACAGTGAGGAATTGGTCATGGATGAGGGAGTTGCAGATCCGATGCAGGCGGCCTAGGTGAGGCTAGGCGTGAAGTCCAATATCGAACGATTCTAAACGTTTCTGAAATGTTTTAAAACGTTTATAAAACGACGCTATTTTGCGGAAGTACTCTAAATTCAACGCAAGTGACGACTCAATGGCCGTGGTCATATATTGAACATAATTATCCCTAGCACTGGCAACAGCGTCAGTGAGTCTAACAGTATGGTTGCCTTTCCTTTGACCGCGTCGGAATCCCTTTTTTTACAAGGAATATTCTGCACTAGTCGCAAACACGCATTCACAGCACTTTCGTTTTGAGGGTCGTAATTCACAATACCATGCTCATACAATATACTCATCACATCTTTTGCAACCATTCGTGTGCGAGTTGATCGACGCTCACGAACAAGTGATTGAATGATGCGTGGCGTTGTCGTGCTGAAGAACAACACGCTTGTTGGCACTTGGGAATCGGGCCTTGATAGCTGGTATGACTCGAGTCATGATGTATTTACAATACACAGCGGCATCAACGTTCACCAATGTAGTCACAAGCTTGCGAGTACGACGGTTGCGGAAGTTGAGTGTGGCAGATACGCGCCTCACAATGGGCCACATCTTGATCTTTCCATCAAACATGGCTCCTTGCTCACAATCGAATGGAGGACGCTCGAGCCGGCAAAAACATGGACTTTCGCGATGAACTGCTTGCTCTTCGATGTTCATCGACTGATTGTCTGGCCTTTC